TACGCTGCCCTCGACTTGAAAGATGTATCCATTATCCCGGCCCACAGACATTTCCTTCGCTTCGTGGTCAGTGGCCAGCACTACCAGTTCAGGGTGCTCCCATACGGGCTCTCGATGGCCCCCCGGGTATTCACCAAGTGTATGGTGGTCGTGACAGCCTTCCTCTGCAAACGTCAGGTGCAAGTGTTCCCGTACCTGGGCGACTGGCTCATCGAGGCCGAGTCGCAAGCACAGGTTGCAGAGCATGTGTCTTTGGCCCAGGCCACATTCCACAGGCCGGGCCTCATAATGAATCTGCCCAAATCCACACGAGCCCCAATGCAGAGAATAGAATTAATAGGGGCTCTCTTGGACTCCAGGCAGGCCGGGGCATTCCTGCCTGAGCTGCGCTTCCAAGCACTCATGGACATTATCGAAAACCTTAGCCGATTCCCCACATCCACGTCCAGAAATTGCATGAAACTGTTGGGGGATATGGCGGCCTGCACAGACGTGGTCCGGCACGCCAGGTTATGCCTTCGGCCCCTCCAGGCGTGGTTAGCGCGGGTGCACAGGCTGGGCAGGGACCCACTGGACATGATAGTTACCCTCCCCCCTCGCATTCTTGAGTCTCTCCACTGGTGGCTGCAGCCACAAGTGGTCTGTGTGGGAGTACCCTTTGCCAAACCCCAGCCTATGCTATCACTAGTCACGCATGCCTCAGCGCTCAGTTGGGGAGCGCACCTGGGCAATATCAGAACCCAAGGCCTATGGTCCCACACAGAACTATTGCTGCATATCAACGTAAGGGAGCTGAGGGCGGTTCGTCTGGCATGCCAAGCATTCCAGGCTTGCCTTCAGGGCGCATGTGTGTTGGTGCTGACGGACAACACTGCAGCGATGTTCTATATAAACAAACAGGGTGGTGCTCGCTCCTCTCCCCTGTGCCAGGAAGCCCGTTAGCTGTGGGATTTTTGCATCGCCCACTCAATACACCTAGAGGCGTCACACCTTCTGGGAGCGCAAAATGAGCTAGCCGATCGTCTCAGCCGCTCACTTCACAGTCACAAATGGTCCCTCAGGCCGGACATCGCACACTCGATTTTCCAGAGGTGGGGCTTTCCCCACATAGACCTGTTTGCGATGCGGAGCAAGAGGAAGTGCCAGTGGTTCTGCTCTTTCCTGAACCCACAGCCCAGGCTCCATCGTGGACCTCTTTCACCTTTCATGGATGAGTCACCTGCTGTACACGTTCTCGCCCTTCCCTCTCATACACAAAGTCCTCCTCAAGACTCGCCGGGATGTGGCTTCCTTGACCCTCATAGCACCAGCATGGCCCCGCCAGCACTGGTTCACCATGTTGTTGAACCTCTCAGTGGACAGATCAGTAGCCCTTCCTGTGTGCCTGACACTCATCACACCCTACACGGTCTTTTATAAAGATAAGGTGCAGCAACGCCCTCACCCTGCGTTTCTGCCAAAGGTAGTCTCCCAGTTTCATGTGAACCAAGACATATTTTTACCTATGTTCTTCCCTAAGTCTCATGCCAGTAACAGAGAGCGCATGTTCCATTTCCTGGACGTAAGGCATACCCTAGCATTCTGCATTGAGCGTACAAAGCCATTTTGTAAGTCACCACAGCTCTTTATTGCAATCGCAGAAAGGATGAAGGGACTCCCAATCTCATCCCAGTGCATTTCATCATGGATCACGTCCTGTATCAGAACATGCTACGACCTGGCTAAAATTCCAGCCCCTCCGCTTATGGCGCACTCCACGAGAGCGCAGGTGTTGTCTGCAGCATTCCTGGCACAGGTCCCTATCCAGGACATATGCAAGGCAGCAACGTGGTCTTCCATCCACACCTTCACGTGTCACTACGCCATTACCCAACAGGCAAGGGACGATGCAGCCTTTGGCAAGGCAGTCCTGCACTCAGGAACCAGGTGAACTCCGACCCCTCCCCCAGGGAAACTTCTTGGAAGTCATCTATTGGAATGCACATGAGCAATCACTCTAAGAAGAAAAACAGGTTACCTACCTCTCGTAATTGTTGTTCTTTGAGATGTGTTGCTCATGTCCATTCCAAATCCCACCTACCTCCCCTCTGTCGGAGTATTCTGGCAAGAAGGAACTGAGCAGGCGGCAGGTCGGCAGGGACCTATATACACCGCTATGAAGGTGCCACTCCAGGGGTCTCCATAGCCAACCCGACGGGTACTGCTAAGGGAAAAACCTTCCGATGATCGTGCACGCAGCGCGCGCACACCTATTGGAATGGACATGAGCAACACATCTCGAAGAACAACAGTTACGAGAGGTAGGTAACCTCCTGAGGTCCCTTCCAACCCTGATATTCTATGATTCTATGAGGTAGGTAACTGTTTTTTCTGCTTTTCATTCCCTGAGGCATTCATCCATTTTAGCTATGACCTGAGGATGTGTTCATTAAATTGAGACCATGCAGACCATAAGGACCTATGAACAACTTTTCTCAGCTTCCTGTAGACATGTTTGATTAAATTTGCCATTGTGGGAAGAAATACAAACTCCTTATTTGCCTTTTAGGCCATATATACCAAATATCCTACTTCAATGTGTATAATGTGCCCCCTCTAATTTTTTCACCTCAAGAAAAAGTGTGTTCAGATAACCTTGTCATTCAGATAGATACATCATAAGGATTGCTTTGGGCCTCTCTCTCTCGGTTTTGAGAACCACAAAATCTAGTCTTATCAACCCATCCATTTTCAATAACCAGAGTTCCATGAGGATTTTCCCAACTCTTATTAAGTTAGCAGTTTCTTATAAAATAGAGCCCAAGTTCAACAGCATACTTCAGCGTGTGCCAAAAATTGACGTAACGGGGACTGTTCACATGTTTAAACTTAAGTGTGTGCTTACATACCTTGCTGAATCAGGGCCCTGATCTCCAGCTTAATGCCTCTAGGTTAAATTGACCTTTATTTCTAGAATTCAGGAAGGAATCCTTTTTAATATTATACATTATTTTCTTATTAAATCTTCTTTAACTTGTTTGCTAAGCCAAGTTCAAGTGAAGTATGAAGCAAATCAGAAGCCATAATTATGAATAAATGAGTCATTCTAAGAAGCCAGTGTATGTTAAGTGCCAGGACTGAGCGAAATCTTTCAGTGTTGATCTGAAAGATGAAAAGATGGCAAAAAAATAAGACAATGGGAATGTCAGATAGAAACATTTGTCATTGTGAGACGTTCCTAATGGCATGGGAATCAATTATACCAGCATTACAGAGTAAACCAGAGACTAAACAAGAAGCACCTTCATAGCCTATAAGCGTTTCTATCTACATAAGTATACAGTACCACGATAAAAAATACCAAAACTGTAGTATGCACTACCTTCTTGTGACACTTATCCAAGAAATACTACCTCTATTCAGTCCGAAACAGGCTTATGGAAACTATTTGAATTATCCTTCCCCCCCCCTTTTTTGGGGGGGTGGGGTGGGGTAAGGGTTGGAAGATAAATTTAGTCAGATATCTTCTGGGAGAGCTTGGTATCTCAGATGTTCTCAGTAAGAATGTCATATCTACTCATAATTAGTTCAGCTAGACTTCCCCAGCTGAGTACATTGCTATTGGGTCAATGGCCATTTTTATAGTCTTTCCACCTAGCTCTCAGGCCAAGACAATTTGAATTATCTTTTCAAATAACAGTTCATGACACAATAAATGTCAGTGTTTTTGTAATTCCTCAAAACAAAAACATTGTCTTCCAAGATTTATTCTTTATTAAGCCATGCTGTTAGTTATGGTTCCATTATCCTCTACTATACTTTTTTTTCTCTTAATCTTTCTTCCAATATTTTACTGGCTATAGAAATGTCCAGTACCTCACAATTATGCTTTGAAAAAATCAGAGAACTTGAAAGTGCTACAAGTAGTTTGATAGCTAATTACTTCATTGTTGTTATGTATTTTAGGTACCAGCTATTAATGTTCATATTTTCTTAATATTCAGTCACCTACTCTTAACCAACAGATTTTCTGGAATCTCTCTTTCGGCTTAATTGTTCGACTCCTCTTCCCCATGAATATTTGTAAATGCTGTCTTGAGTCCACTTAATCTTTTGGGCTAGCTCTAATTCATACTATTTTTCTGTTGCCTCTTCTAGACATCGCTGTGACTTTTTGTTTGGATGCCTCACTCATAAACAAATTCCACTACAGGTTTTTCTTTTAACTTCACGTCTTTGTCTCATAAATTCACAATAGCTGGTTTTTGTTCCTTGTATTTTTCTTTTTCTGAAGAATTGTGATTTGTCATGCCTCACTTATGTCACATACTTGGATTTTACAATTTTTATACACTGGTGGATTTTAATAGATATCTGATTTCCCCCCAGATTTGCTTTCTTAAAATGACTGCACTGTTCTGTGAACCCATCCCTTTCTGTACTGAATTCAGGTAGCTTATGGTCACTGGTTCCAAGCTTCCTTACGTTTTCCTATTCTAAATCAGTTCTTCGTTGTTAGTAAAGTGTAGGTGCAGAGTGGCTTTTCCTCTGGCTAGAGTCTTTTTACTTTGAGTCATTAAATTGTCCTCTGTATACCTTGAAAAAATCTCTCTAGTGATGTGTGTGTGTGTGTGTGTGTGTGTGTGGTTGTATTTATTGTTCCATAAGCAACTGAGTGGGATGTTTGAGACCATTGAAAGTAAAGTTTGATATTAACATTAGTATGTGATACACCTCTACCCTGATATAACACTGTCCTCAGGAGCCAAAAAATCTTACTGCATTATAGGTGAAACTGCGTCATATCGAACTTGCTTTGATCCGCCGGAGTGCGCAGCCCCACCCCCCTGGAGCACTGCTTTACCGTGTTATATCAGAATTCGTGTTATATCGGGTCACGTTATATCAGGGTAGAGGTGTATTACAAACTTTAGGTATCATTTTTTAGAGCAATGAAGTATCTATCTTTCTTTGTCCTTTTGGTAACAACTCGTTTGTTTTGTTTGGTTGTTTTAATATAGATGCTGGCATCACCATCAACATCAGGTCAGCTGTCTCAATTTGGGGCAAGTTTATACGGGCAACAAAGTAAGTACTCTGTTTATTACTGATATGCTTCTTTTATGATGTATGCATGTTCATTTTTACATCTTGAGGGAGAATATGCATATCGTTTTTTCTGTTAATTACATAGGAGAGGTTGCATGTCTTTTTATGTGTGTGACCTGTGCAAGATACATTTTAGATCTGGGTTAGTAGTTTTTTATGCATTTGCCATGATTTGATGCTCTACAGTTGCTAAATAAATATCACCTAAAATATTCTATAGTTAAACACGGTATAAAGAATATCTGTGGCTTAGCCATGACTTTTAAAAAGAAAACTAAAACAATAGGCCAAAATAAACCTAGTTTTCTGAAGAATGGATACAGAATCAAGTGAACAGCTTGATTTGTAATGTGGTATTGTATACCCACAAAAGGCAAATTGATTCACTTCTAAAAGTTGGTCATTCTTAATTCTGTCTGTAATATGTGAGGTAGTAAAGCTGGGGAAAATATTCGAGGTTAATAGTTATTTTCCCACCCTCCATTTCTTCCTTTTTATCCTGCAGCTGTTAAAAGTTTAAATTAGCAGGTACAGAAAGACTAGTTGTGTGCTCTACAGAAGGATTTTAAGTATTTTACCACCTCCTGATTAGACTTGATTGGAATTTTCTAGCAAGTTACCATTGGCCGCAGACACTGTATGTAAAGTATCTTCTAGGGTATTTTAGCAAGTGACTTTTTTAGCTGGACAGAGCAAGAGTATTGTCTCCTAGAAGATGCAGTCTTTCTGATACAGTATTTAATTTTCCTTTGAATAACATTCAGGCTCTTAATAGTGAGAGTGGTTGCCCCATAGACTGTTGACGAGTAACAGTGTTAGACCTACTGGTACATTCATTCCAATGATGAATTTTCTTTAAATCCATTTCTAGGAAATCTGAGAGGGAAGCTTTATGCTCATTTTTGGGGCCTTAATCTGGCATTGTTGAGCCTCTTTTAGTCTCCACTATCTTTATAGCTTGGGGCTGTAGCTATTTTTGTACCTTTTTATCCATTGCAATTGTATTCATTAGGCCCATTAAGTCACCCAGATGATCTAATACATTTTTCTTAACAACCTAATATTTCGATCAGTTCTGGCTGTGATGCCTAAAGTGCAATCTAGCTTAAGTGAAATCATGCTTAAAGTAGAAACTAGAAGGTCATACTAGAACAGGCTTCTGTTTCTTCCCGAAGTCTGGAATGCCATGCTTGGGACTAGATGATGTTTAACCATTAAAATGTTGTTTGGAAGAATAAAAATTGATACCTAGAATTGGACTAGTGGCATCTGCTTCATTATCCATCTATGTATGTGTCTCGTTCTGGAAAGGGGTGACCAGATCCAGATTATTGTAAATCTGAGTTAAAGAAACCCAATTTCCAGGCACAAAATTAGCTTTTTACTTTCTTCTCCAATGGTCAACCGAAGTCATTGCCTATTAGAAGTATTAACAAGGGAAAGTGAAAGAGAGAGAAAAATAGATTTCAGCTGTCCATCCACAAATTTACAATGAGACTTGAAGGATCAAACTCAATCTGTTTACATATATTCAGATATAAAAAAATATTCTATAGCTGGCAATTGCGGAGAGTTCGAATTTTCACTGTGCGGGCCAGCTGAAATCTATTTTTCTCTCTCTTTCACTTTCCCCAGAGAATGCTTCCTATGTTTTGCACTGTGAGGTCAATTTCTAAATCAGTTCCTTAGAGATCTAGTTTACCACCCTGCTGCCAAACCAATGGGCCAGTTATAAGGAATATTTTTTTAGCTGCACTGTTACGTATGCTAGTTTTGTTTCCTGATATATATTACATGAAATTTCCTTTTTATTGTATCTGGACATAATCCTGAAATTTTTTTCAAATTTAAATAGAAAAATTGATTTGTGAATCAGAAGAAAGTCATACACAACATTTGAAAATGTCCTCAGAAAACAAAAGCATTTCTCCACAGAGTATTTTTTTTGTCCCAATTGTTTTAAATAATGTGAATTTCCATTTTTATTTGTCTTTGATGCTGAAATGCTTTCTTTATTTGCTGTATACACCCACACATTTATGGTGAAGCATTTGTGTTGAACACAATAATATTGAACACGTAGTATGGCATTCACAATAATTTTTATTATATTAGTGGACAGTTAAAATCTCACTTTTTTCTTATTTCAGAACATTAGACTTAAGTTAATTACAGATACTGAATTTCTATGGTCAAGAAAAAGCACTTTATACTTGACAGAGAACAATTCTAAAAAGCATACTATTGAAAACTAAATTATTAATATTTGTATTAAAGAAGTTTGTATTGTTTTGCATGAGCTGAAATAGTGTTTTCAACACAGGCCAAGTGTGTATCCGCTTATACTTTCTGAAAATGTATCTTCTAATTGAAATTTTACATGAATTTAAATGTACTGTATTTAGTATAAAATAATTCTAAATTGTGTAATTAGCCTATTCTAGAAATAGCATTTATCTTATGTTGAGGGAGTGGTCCAATTACAACTATTACTCTTTGCCAAATACATATTTTTCTATTTAATTATTAAGTGTTTTTAAAAATGAGTCTGATTTTTTCCTACTTTCATTTTAAAAATGCTTTTATGAAGTGTGTGTGGACTCAACCAAATATGTGTTGTTTTTAACGCTTACATAAAAAGCTGTTTGATTTAGCTTTTTAGAAGATAAACATGATGCCAACAGATGACAAAAAAAGAAAATTCTTAAAAACAAGATTGTGAGACACTTTAAAGAAGAACATTAAGTCTTGCTTATCGCTTATATAATTAAAGTTTTCAAAATACAAAATGAGAGTCAAGACACTTTTTTATACTGTTCCTTCAGTTTTAAAGCTATATTTCAGTACTCAGTCTAACAAACCAGTCGGAACATAAAACCTGCAAATTACTGATACAAAAGTAAACCTATAACACTTACTGTAGAATGCAAATATCAATGGAAATGCAATTTTGGTAGTGCTTGTCAAATACAAAAAGCTTTCAAATAAAAAGCCTTTTTTCTGAAAATTACAAAAAGACAGCATATTTGCAATAACTGAGTTTAGATCATGTAAATAAGGACTTAATTTTTTCACTGCATTTTCTTGCAGCATTACACTAATATTTTTTTAGATTGTCAAATTAGATTAAGTTCCCTTCTACACTGGATGGATAACACTTTGTTCCTGATTGCTACATATTTCCACCCCTCTGAATCTTTTTTCAATAGGTGCACTAGGCCTTCCAATGAGGGGAATGAGCAACAATACCCCTCAGTTAAATCGCAGCTTATCACAAGGCACTCAGTTACCGAGCCACGTAACGCCAACAACAGGGGTACCAACAATGTCACTTCATACGCCTCCATCTCCGAGCAGGTATTTATTGGTAGCTGATATTTCTGCAATTGCTTTTTTTCTGCAGAGCAGTTTAAGCATATTTTACCTAAACTACTTTACATTATAGTTAATAAAAAAGAAAAATATTTCCTATTATGGATCACTGCCTGTGTTGAGGAAAATATTTGTAATACACTGTTTGTATGTGGTAAGGATAGTGTTCACTTGCAAATTCTGTTGCGTGAACACAAGACATCATTTGACTGCTTTGGTAAATGTGTGGTTAAAATTATATGCATGTTATACAGCATTCAGAATATCAAGGGGGTAGCACAGAAGCACTAATATTAAAAGATTTTATGTATCAATTGATTTAGCTATATGGTGTTTTCACACTCATAAGACTTTTATTTCACTTCAAATATTTTTTATAAGTATTCTACAGTAGACCTGACCAGGGATTTGTCTAGTCTCATTGTATAAAGGAGCATATGACTTTTCTAAACAAACCTAAAACTCTGTACCATTTACTGAAAAGTAATTGCTTAGATCAGTGGTTCTCAAACTAGGGCTGCTGCTGGTTCAGGGAAAGCCCCTGGCGGGTCGGGCCGGTTTGTTTACCTGCCGAGGGATGTGCTGGCCTCCCTTCCTGCAGCCCCCATTGGCCTGGAGCAGTGAACCGTGGCCAGTGGGAGCCACGATCGGCCGAACCTGCAGACGCGGCAGGTAAATAAACCGGCTCGGCTCACCAGGGGCTTTCCCTGAACCAGCGGCGGCCCTAGTTTGAGAACCACTGGCTTAAATGATGTGCCATATTGAAATTATTCATAAATCTAGCTTGACTGCCTAAAAAATTGATTATTCGTTTCATTTCTATACTGAAGTTGAAAAGTATTGTATAGGTTCAACTTTTTGGATGGTTTTATCTCTTTCAGGGGTATATTGCCTATGAATCCTAGGAATATGATGAACCACTCCCAGGTTGGTCAGGGCATTGGAATTCCCAGCAGGACAAACAGCATGAGCAGTTCAGGGTTAGGCAGCCCCAACAGAAGCTCGCCTAGCATAATATGTATGCCAAAGCAGCAACCCTCTCGACAACCTTTTACTGTGAACAGGTAAGACTGATTTGGTCAAGCTATATACATGCAGGTTTGGGGATGTTCAGCAGCATTCCTGAAATAAAAATCTAGTTTTATCCATTATTTTAAAGTTTGAAGTGGTGAATTCTTACTGCCAGGAGACCGTGTATCTGCTTTGAAATGTACATAAGATTCTCTTGATTGAAGCCTTCAAACTAAATTTTGCCTGGCCACTGGTCATTCACTACTGTTCCTGCAAAAATACATATTTAAACAGTTGTTTTTAAAGTGCAAGTTGGGGTTTTCTTTGTGCACATTTTAACTTTAGTGCTGGTTATAAGTTACATTAAATGCACTTGGAAAAAATAAGGCAAGAATTAAAAATATAATAGTTCTTTGAGAATTGCCTCTGTAGATTCACATGCTTCAGGAGTCTTGCGCCTCTGTGCTGCAAGCCACACAACCATTTGGAAAGCAGTGACTTGCCCTCCTGTAGAGCTGAGCATTCCTTGCAAACAGCCTCTGTTCCTCTCCTTCCACTGTAGGCATAGGTCTCAGAATCATCAATCACTTAACAGTAACACAACGTAAGATAAGATATGTTTGGTTTATATTGATTTTGAAGTTCTGTTTATATAGACAGTTTAAAAGAATCATAACTGTAGTTTGGTTATAACTGCTTTTCCACACCTTATGGTAGTATGTCCACCCAATGTCAGTCCCACCTTTTCTTCATTTAAATCTCTCTGTACTGTTCGCAAACTAACTCATGTCAGTCATATGCCTTCTCCAACCCAACATTATGTAAAAAAAGAATGAGAGGGAGAGAAATTTTAAGATAATATTTTTAATCTCTTAGTTTGTGCAATTCCTATCCACTTCAAGAAAAGAAGATCTTGCTGATCTCCTCAGCCAGCCACAGTAGGGATTTGGCAGCAGTAGTTCAAATCCCTGCCTTGTGGCATGAGAGGGGTCTTTTGGTCCTCTCACTCTATAGCAGAGGTGGGCAAATTACGGGCCACGTCCGGCCTGTGGGACCGTCCGGCCCGGCCCCTGAGCTCCCAGCCAGGGAAGGTATCCCCCGGCTCCTCCCCCGCAGCCTCAGCGCGGCGCACCGCCAGTGCTCTGGCCCATTGCTCCTTCCGGGCAGCACGGGAGGCGTGGCTCTGAGCAGCATGGTAAGGGGGCGGGGAGCGGGGGGGTTGGATAAGGGACAGGGAGTCATGGGGGGCAGTCGGGACAGGGAGCAGGGAGCGGTTGGATACGTGTGGGAGTCCTGGGGGGCCTGTCGGGGTGGGGGTGTGGATAGGGGGCGGGGCAGTCGGGACAGGGAGCAGGGGGGGTTGGGTAGGGGGTGGGGTCTCGGGGGAGCGGTTAGGGGCGGGGGGTCCTGGGAGGGGGCGGTCAGGGGACAAGGAGCAGTGGGGGTTGGATGGGTCAGAAGTTCTGAGCGGGGCAATCGGGGGCGGGAAGTGGGAGGGGACGGATTCGGGGTGGGGGCCAGGCTGTTTGGGGAGGCACAGCCTTCCCTACCCAGCCTTCTATACAGTTGCGCAACGCCGATGTGGCCCTCGGGCCAAAAACTTTGCCCACCCCTGCTCTATAGGCTACCTCAGCATGTTTGCTGTAATGAATATCAGCAAGTAAAGGGGCAAATAAATTAGTGTTGTTTATATATTAAAAAAAAAAAAAGCCTCATTAACATTATTTGAGATGCCCCTTTTCTTAGTTTTCAGTAGTAATTCAGAGATGATGAAATCTCAGTATGCAGTAGCTTTTGAATTATTGTCTTCATCTTTTATGTACATACATCATATGCTTTCTTCGTGCGTCCCTCTCCCATTTAGGAAGGGATGATCACTAGTATCCAGGTTGCTATTTTTTATTGAAGCTATTTCCAGTGTGGGGTTATTCACTAGACTTTAAAAGCAAATATATACATACAAGTCTATAAATACACGTTAAATTATACTACAAATGCCACTGTTAACACTAAATTTACAGATATCAGTACTATTGTGGATAAACTTAAAAATTTCATGAAGATTTGATGAATTTTCTTGACGGTCACATAATTGATAATCACTTCCATAAAATATTCTCTAAACATTTTCCCCAATTTGAACAATGTGTTGGCTATTTTAAAATGTATAGAATATTTAACTTTCTCCTCATCAGCTACCTCAGTTTTCCTAAAGAGGCAGCACTATGTATTGATAGAAAGTTGGATAACCCACAGGTAAAAAACAACTGTGGGGCAATTTTTTCTCCTGCTGTCTGACCTCTTGTATCTCTCTGAAATCCCTAGTCTGAGGACTCTTTTAATTGCTGGATTTTATTTGTTGAGATGCGTTGTGTGAAAAGTACTATATATCAGCAGGCTATATTGCATGGCCTTACTAACTACATCAAGATTGACTGTCTTGTCAGTGCTCTCACCTGATTTAGAATTCCAGAAGATGCCAGAAATCTGTTTCTTCAAGTGGCTGATAGATAGAAGTCAAAGGGTTTGATGTATTCCAAATACACCACCTTACTGAAGCCAAGCTGAGCAGGGTCATTCTGCACTTATTGTTCCCCTACTCAATCTCTTGAACTGTGTTGGGGGAACTGAAAGCAGTTTCTCTTGACCCTCCTAGGGTGATTATGGCTGCTAGTAGGCAAAGTAAGTTGTCTAGTTCCCTGATTGATGTGTGCCCACATATGGGAAACTCTAAACGCAAAAGGTTAAGGGGATAGCTTTTTTTACTTTTTCTTTTTTTAGACCTTGGCCTAATTGCTTTTCTTAATAAAGCATGAGAGAAACTAGGAGTTAATCTCGGCTTGATCTGTCCATGCTATCTTGTCAAAATATCATCTTGACTTTATTGTATCATATACCCTAGCAAAGTCAAGATGGTGTCTACTGTATTCTATTTATCTATAGATATATCAACTTTGTCATGATTCACTTATGAACTTATTTTAATGCCTATGGCTCTGTTATCCTTAAGTCTTAGCATTTTTCTTAATATTCTATTGTTAGAAATTTATAATAAAATTGTCTTGATTAATTGCCCCATTGTTTATACAAATTTGACAAGTGCAAAGTATAAAACGGTGAAAACTGAATTTGAAAGATGAACGCAGGTTTCTTAGCCTGTAATAACTCAAGTGAGGTGTTAATGAAGTCTCTTCGTTTTCCTTTCTTGTCTTGTCTTCTCTCACTCAGTTGAAGTTAGAAAGTGTTTATTTTTGTATCTGAATTTTTGTTTTTGTGCACAGTATGTCTGGATTTGGAATGAACAGGAATCAGGCATTTGGAATGAATAACTCCTTATCAAGTAACATTTTTAATGGAACAGGTGAGTTTCCTTTAAATAGGTAGAGGATGAAGTACAATAGGAGGTATATATGTTAGCTGGTTAAAACCCCAAATTGTTAAAGATATTTGTATCTCTAATTGTGAATTTTTGTAATTATGCTTAATGACTTTGTACAGAATTGTTCCCATTACTTAAGAATGTGCACATAAATTGGAACACTGACATTAATATATGACAAATGTGTAATTCAGTTTTTAAGATCATATGTAAAATACAAAATACATTTAGGTAGTAGCAAATGGCATAAAAATAACACTTCTGAAATTATACTAGAAATTAATATTTATATTACTTTTAAAGACAAAGTAGAAAAACTTAAATTACACTGAAAATAGTTTGTTTTGCATGGATTTTTTTTATATACAAACATACATTCATAACAGCCAATTTCAATGTCAAAAATAATTTAAAGATCCAGGGACAACAAAGGGATGATCCTGTTAAACGTTTATTAATCTGTAGGCGGGGGGGGGGGGAAGTATCTGTTTAGTATGAAAATATTATGGTGAACAACTTCTTTAAAAACTATTTTTAGAAATCTTCCCTTATTTCCAACTCCTCTTACACAGATATAAAAAATGATCCTTTTAAATCAGTAGTCCAGGTTGTGACAGTTTCTAGGAATTCCAGACTGTTCATTTGTATTAAGAAAACTATATATAATATCATCCAGAAAAATGCTTTACTTTAGGTATGTATGGCTATACTAAGCTTTCTGTATATAACTACAAGGTTATAATTACATCTTTAAAATACTGATGGTGTCATAAAGTAAAAGGGTAATGCCCAAGTGGTTTGTGTAGTCACTAGAACCCTGTGATGGCATTATAAACCTATAATTCAAAATTTGTATATACTCTGATACCAGCTGCAAATCGGAATTCATGCCTTACCCTGGGTTTTACTACGTGTCTTCTGAAATTGCTTCATTATTCTGCCTTGTCCTGCGTTAGTAGCGATTAAAGGGCTCCTACAGCGCTGCCACTGATGCTACTATTTCCCCTCTCCAAGCCCTTCTCTTGCTAGCTCCCTATTGTCAGTGAAGCCTTTCTTTCCCACTATGGAACCACTGATAACTTCAGTCCTGTAATTTACAGGTACAGTGTCACATTCATGACTCTTGGCATATATTATTGAGTTGCTATTTTAAAAATAAAAAATGCTCTATAGCCTAGCCTTGTCATCTAGGCTTTTCTTTTCTTTTTTTAAATTTATACAGAATACTGATAGAAACTTGAAGAGAAAATGAAGTGTTCTCCTACCTTTTAGTGGTGGGATTTTATTTCTTCAGCATATCATCTGTTGCTAGCACTATAAACCATGGAAATCACATCTTGGTGACAGGAGGTGGTGTTTGTTGAACATTTTAACAAAATCAGTTTGTTTGAATGTACATGTTCGTGAAGAGAAAATATTTTGATCCTTTTATTGTTTGATGAAGAAAAACTTGATTTCATGTATTGCAGTCCCTGTGTAAAAAATTCAAGGTGGTTAAAAAACAGAGTGCTTTTTATTTTAGATGGAAGTGAAAATGTGACAGGACTGGACCTTTCAGATTTTCCAGCACTAGCAGACAGAAATAGAAGAGAAGGAAGTGGCAACCCAACTCCATTAATAAACCCATTAGCTGGAAGGGCTCCCTATGGTAAGAATGTACTTCTGAAAACTTTGTTGAATAAAATAAATGTTTACTTGCCTGATTCGCGTATGGCTGTTCATAATACATTGTTATGAGACAGTGGGTAACATTTTCAAAAGTGCCTAGATCCCATTGACCATCAGTAAGGCTTAGGCTCCTAAGTCATATTTTCAAAAGTGACTGAGACAATTACAGTCTGGTCATCTTGATGCTTTTGAAAACATTACCCAACATCTCTGCAGTTGGAAGTTGACTTCAGACATGTTGCAAGTCATTATAACTCAGCTGTTTAAATTCACCTTTGATTGAAAACTGGCCATTTTTTTTTTTCAGTCTGGATATGCATATTTTTAAATAGCTTCATTTTTTGTTTCCTATCAAATTGATTGCCTGTCTTTTAGATGCCTGTTGATCAAATTGTCGCAGTGTACCTTGTAAATAGTTTATTTTAGAAATAAAATGTAACATTAAAAAGTTAGCATTTGCTAAGAGGTGTGACGACATATCAGAGATGCTACAGTTTCCTCCTATACTGTGCTACCTATTGACTTTTTAATAGTGATCACAGTACTTGATGCTTATTGGTTTTTTTTTTTAAAGTACTAAATAGACACACATCTTATGCAATAGAACTACTTGTAGAATAGTTACAAATCACATGAGCAAAGATAATTTTTAGTATAAGTCATCAGGGTAGCTTAGCCTCAAAGTACAACTTTTTCTTGTTCCTTAATATATGTTTGTCCTGCATATCACTTCTGCATATAACTTGGGCAGTTGCTGTTATATAAATTATCATTGGGTACTACAGGAAAGAGGGTATTAAGTTCTTTTTAGCTCATTCTCCAAATTTCTGACAGAAAAAGCTCTGTTACCTTTAGAATATCAATCAACGTTTTGCTAAAAGATCGTATTTGCGTCTATAAATGCCAGAATCCATTTATTCAGAAGAAAGAAGAAACAGGATTCAGTAAACCAATTTCCTAAATTTAAAAAAAGGGAGCTTTGATCTCTTCTTGACCTCAGAACACTGGAAAATGTCTGTCAACTATCGATACGCTTTAGCTCATCTACACCTATCCAGAACCTCTGGAAAATGATCTCTAGGTTTCCTTCTATCTGCACTTACCCTGCATCAGAGGTCTGAGTAATTTGCAGCCAGATTACTATATTATTTCTGTATGTCTGAGCAAGAGGTTGTTGACCCCTGGAGTCTTTTTTTTTTTTTAATTGGTACAATAAATAATGCTTCTCTTCAGTCCCTGGATCCAATCTTCCAGTATGAATGACCTACTTTTCTGAAATTAGGGTCAGAGCATTGAAGCCAGCTGATATCTGTAGACTTGCATTTTTCCTACTGTTTAAGTCACTGGCAAGTATAACATAGTGATGTTCTATTGCAAATTACCTGCATGTTTACTTAAAATATATAAGCCTAACCAAATTTCAGAAAACATTTTCAGAATTTAAAGGAAAACTGATTTCAATAAAAAAAAATCTGTATCCTTTTTATCAAATTGCTTTAATATCATTTTAAAAACTCCTCTCACGGTTCTTCTGCTTATTCAGATGTTGTGTAAGATGTTCAGTGTTAATAATAGTAAAACTATTGGGCATAATTAATTCTTAGTGTAACTTCAATAAAAACAGTTCAGTTGTGCTAGTTATGAATTTGGTGCCAAAGTTTTCTACATCTAATTTAAATAAGAGAACTGAGTCAGTGACGTACGGTTCCAGTAAACCAACACACTTTCATTTTTTTCATATTTCCTGTTCTTTTAAAGTCTGTTGCACTGTACCAATCGCTCATAAAAGCAGCAGCAGAAAAATGTTTTCATAATAGTTATTAATATTGTACTTGCTCTCATTTGGATCATAGTTGGAATGGTAACAAAACCAGCAAGTGAGCAATCCCAGGACTTCTCAATACACAATGAAGATTTTCCAGCATTACCAGGCTCCAGTTACAAAGATCCAACATCAAGTAATGATGACAGTAAATCTGTAAGTGAATGTTAAAACTTTATTTTTTCCCTCCAGTGATCACGTTTTGTTTTTCAACAACTTAGTTTAAAATTGGCAGTAAAGCAATTTGAATACACTTGTACTTCAAGGTGACAAATTTTAAGAGGTCTTCTATAAACTACTCAGTAATTGAAATATCACTATATGTGCTATGCAGATTGGCTCTCCTGGGGAATCAGTTGTCTTCTGACCATGAAAATGACCTTGATAACAGATTATTTTGGTGAGGGTGAATCAAATTACTTTCTCAGTTTCAAAAAAGTCCTGTGTACTTTTATGTACACTTTTGGAGATAGAAAACCCGAGTTTAATTGTTTCTTTCAGGTACACCTCACAAAGTTTGCTTCTAGAATCAAGATATAATTGTTCTAAAATTCCCAGTGCTGAGTTTTGACATAGGGAGATACTTCCAGTTCAGATCCCTCTTCTTAGCTAGATTCACATGTTACTTTCTCCAATAATAATAATAATAATAATACTTTCCACAGTACAGCACCTTCCACTGAGGTTCTCAAAATTCTTTACAAACTTAATGAGTTAAGTCTCGCAATGTCCATGAGAGCTAGGTAAATATTGTTGTTCCCCATTTTTTTATATAGATAGGGAAATAATGGCACAGGGATAAAGTGATCTTAACCAAATATCACACAGGAAATCTGTGTCATAGTGAGGAATTAAGATTTCTAACTCCTAATACCTTGTCTTAACCACAAGACTATTCTGCATCCTTTTAGTTATTACATATTTACATGTATAACTTTATTGACTCTGAAAGTTTGGTAATATTGGTATCTATCAGCAATGTGAACATTAATAGTGTAATTGCATGGTTTGGGGTTGTTTGTCCTAAGAGATCCATATTCCAGTGTAGTTTGATTATAGCAAGGTTTAACAAATATTGGTGGGGTTTTGTGATTCTAGTTTGTCACTCATATTGTTACATATACAGTATTTACTGGATATTTAAATAAGAATAAACTTGTAAAAAGATTTTTTTCCTCTTCAGTTAATGTGGCAAGCCATGAGTGGCAGAGGTATTAAAGTAGGAACTGTTTAATTCAACTCAAGTTCTTTGATCATAGATTTCATTAATAAACTATAGGTAGTATGTAGTGTTCCATGGAAATCATAAAAATTAAATTCAGGGGATTTACAAGTAAAACGGAGAGTGTAATTATCTCCCCAGTTAAAACCACAGTCCTGGTGCACGTGAGATCATGGAGCTTATTTGATAATACAAATCAGACTAGCAAAGTGGCTAATGTAAAAAAATCCTAGATTCTATACTTTAATGGGCATTTCAGAGTGATTGATCTCAACTATGTACAACCGGTTTTGGGTTAATGATTAACTCTTTGAACTTGGATGATTCATAGAATTATCCCACCCATTAATCTCTGCAAAGAAACTGCCAAAAGGGGAAATATCCTAGATCTGTACTAACACCATATACCCTTTGGAATTTTTCAGTGAAATATCATGAATCACCGTAACCATGGGAGATTCAACCATTAAGATTGCCAAAATTAGCATTTATCCACATTACACACTTGGTTTTTTGAAGTAGTATAAAGCCTTTGCAGCATCCAAGAAGCTGTTGAAAGATATGGGAGTGAAGCCACTTCGTTGCATGCAGTCCTGCTATCTGTGGAGGTCAAATTCTTCATTTTTCATTCCCTGGAGGAAGCTGTTAAGGTTTGCCACTACTGAAAAACAGGAGGTAGAAGCAGACTCCGAGAGGGATTGGATAAAAATTGAACTGATACTATGTGATTCTATAAAAAGTTGTCTTGTCAAAAAGTCACAGTAATATGCAGGCAGTATGTCCTGATAAATTGATGTTCTGCCATTTGAAACAGCAGTACGTCAGTGCACACTAGAAAACTTTTAGTGTGCAGCAGCAAGATCCATATGGACAGTTAGGATGCAGCATGCTGAAGCACTGTAGATTTACACCTGAACTTGCTGCGCACCAAACGGCCTTTTAGTCGTGTCTAATTTCTTTTATTGTCCCTTCCTGTGATGTCTTCTCTAGACATTGAGCTCTTCAGAGTAGTATCCTGTCAGTGTGGCGCCATGCATTCTATGGTATTGTAGAAATAGTAAATAGAAATGATGACAGAAAAACAATTTGCAGTAGAGAGCAAACATTTTATACAGTTTTCTTGTCAAATATAGTGTTATACCTTTTTCCTAACTGGTGAGTGCCAACTGTAGTTTGCTTGCTTCTGTAATTGGTCCCTTTATTATATCCAGTGTCAGCCACTGCAGCTCAGAGGGGCTCTCTATGTGGAGACGAGACTGTTGGCTGGCATGTGAAGCGAAGGGCCCACGAGCACCTCCTGTGCCATGCACTCATTTAGAAATGCAGCAGTTTACTCTTCCCGTTAATATTCTGCTCCAAGTGTGTACAAAATATTTAAATATCCTGACCTTTTAAATTTGAGATTATAGATTTGGGAGTAGTTCTTATTTTAGGGATTGTAAAAATGACGAAGGCATTAATCATACCTACAGATTGGTAACAGAACACGAGAACTTCAACTGACAAACAGAGCTGTGGTTTACATTTTGCTCATAAGTAAGCCCTGAAAAGTGTGGAAAACTACGTCTTTGTTTTTAATTCCTTTATGTTCAAATATCGGGGTTTTTTTGTTGTTGTTTTTTTTCAAAACTTAAAATTGAATTACCTTGTAGTGTGGCAGGGCACTTAATTGCTTTTGGGATATGAATAACTGAACAGACTTCAGCCTCACAGTACATGTATGGTCCTGTCGATGGCTTTTGAAGAGCGCTTGATTCAGAAGGGCTGCTTAACCAAGTTTTCCATGTTGGTTTGTTTTCTATCATGTTAACTTGCACAAATTACTTGTTTCTTAATAGAATTTGAGTACATCAGGCAAAACATCTTCTAGTGCAGACGGACCCAAATTCCCTGGAGATAAAAGTTCAACAACGCAAAACAACAACCAGCAGAAAAAAGGGATCCAGGTGCTACCTGATGGTATGCTTGAGTCTTTTTTTTTGATAAATCGCTTGAAAATACTTTCAAATGATCTTGTTGATTCCTCCACTTTTTGAAAGGAGAAAATTAATTGGTTGTTCTTGCCCAGGTCGGGTTACCAACATTCCTCAAGGGATGGTGACGGACCAGTTTGGAATGATTGGCTTGTTAACATTCATCAGGGCAGCAGAGACGGACCCGGGAATGGTACATCTTGCATTAGGAAGTGACTTAACAACACTAGGTCTCAATCTCAACTCTCCTGAGTAAGTTCTGTTTTCAATAGTGTCATCAGTTTTGTTTTTATTATGCTGCTGTTCATAATATTGGGTTCATATAGTTCACATGAATATAAAAAAACTGCAGATACTTTGACAAATTAAATTTGAAAATGCAATGACAGTAAAGTAAAGCTTTCATTAATAAGAGAACTGTGCTTCAAGGCATATTGAGATCTTGTTTTGCAATCTTTCAGTAAGCTAGGAGGCTCTCTTTACTCCCTTAAATTGTTAAGGATTTTTTCAGGAAAGCTTTAGTGTGTTTGTTAATAAATTTCATGCATAAATTATTTTTTAAATAAAAATTTTCCTTGAGGATATTTACATTTAACAATCAGGCAGCATTTTTATTGTAAATTAAACTTACACTGATGTAATAACAAACTGTACACCTTCATAGTTGTATTGTATAGTTGTATTGTTATCTTCAAGAGCAGTATACCTTTTGAAGTTAACTTCTAGTCCGTTAGCTATTTTATATTCTCCATGTGCATAATTGTGAGCCCTCCACCATGATATCACAGGGCAGTAAGGGATTTTAAAGAATCTCTTATACCTCTGTGTGGACTACCCACATCACCAGAGCCTGTGTTGGGAGGCAAGCGGGGAACAGCTGCTGGCATGCTGCTACTTCTCCTTCCATACATGTGGGAAGTAAGCGGAGTATTGGCTCTGCCCCCCCAACACATCTGCCCACATACTTGAGCTGCTGTAGAGTGGGAAGTCATATGGATCAAGGGAAAAGCAGGAAACAAGAGTCACATCTCTTTCTTACCTTGCTTCTGGGGCAGTTCAGCGGCATACTATCTCTTACTCCGGCTGGATTGCAGAATTACAATCCTGCCTCATTTCTTGTGAGCTACATGGGCAAACTTGGGACATGGAGCTCTAAAGATTTTGTTTACTCTGCATAACCTAATAAACAGAGTACTAAAAACATAATTCATCTAAAAGATATTTGATGCATGACCCACCTACAGAAGAACCTTGCTGAACTTCATAGTTTATTCTCTCTCTCAGAAAAAATAGATGGTCTCTTTTTTTTCCACCAAAGATTTGTGTACTATGTTTATTGAAATTTTATGAATGCACACAATAAACCAACCAGCAAAACCAGATTGGAATGGTACATATAGATGAAAGGAATTCTTTGCACTTCACATTTCTCAGATTATATACACATGAAATAGGTATGTATGTGAGTTCAAGAAGGATTGGGGAGAGAGAGTAAAAAAAGATGAAACAAGAAAGAGTAAGAAGAAAAAAGTGGCATTCTGGAATCTGCACTCCTTATACAGTAATTAGCACTAATTTATATATATCCCTCATGTAAATTGATTATTTTTAGGAATTACTCCATAGTGCATTTCTCAACATTTTTTCAGAACATTGTTCCATTAGAGAGACAAGGTGGGTGAGGTAATATATTTTATTGGACCAACTTCTGTTGGCGAGAGAGACAAGCTTTCAAGCTTACACAGAGTTCCATTGGTATTCTCAGAACTACACTTGTGCACCTTAACCACTCTTCTAATACGAATGGATTCTGCAGAATGAAAAGACTTAGTGCTGCTCTTACAGATAACTTCTTGTTTGAGTGTGATGGATTTTTTCTACTTCACTGAGAACATGAGTTTTAAATAGCTATACTAAGAAATAACTCTTCTCACTACTAGCTCCATAATTTGTAGCTTTGATTGTCTGAGTAGGTGCATCTCCAGGATGTGCGCAATATCAGAGTTGTTTGATATTTCCAATACAGATTGCCTTCAGAAAGGCTATGTTTGAACAATCGGCTTAGAGCAAAGTACATCTGAATTCAGTATTTTAAAGTAGATTTAAGTGTAATTTAGCACATGTAACTGAGTATTTGAGTTTTTGGTACAATTTTTGTCCTACTCTTTGCTAGTAAAACTACCATTTAAAATCCTTTCATCTAAATCTCAGGTAATTTATTTTTAGCTTTGGTTATAGCTATATATATAAAAAATAGTATTGGTTTAGAATGACTTTTTTCATGGTGTTGATATATGAAATTAAAGGTACTTTATTGTGGTGGTTTATTGGTATGCTATGCATCTCCTCTATTGGATTAAAGTCCAAATTGTTAATATACGTATCTATGCAGGATATTACCAATTTGTTGCCATGATTGTTGGTAATTAGTTAACTGGTTTTTTTTTTAGTTTTTAATAGGGAATCGTTTCATACAGAGTATTTACTATCTTCCTTGGATGCCTATTATTCAAGTGACAACATTGGATCCATGTATATGTGTCTATATATTTGTATTGTAATACCTGCTTTTAGTCTGGTTTTGGAGCTTTTACAGTTGATGATACAGATAAAAGATTTGCTATTTTATTTTACTGCCCTCAAAGTTAGTGATACGTTTTTGCCTAGTGTGACAGTTAGTCATCACTGTGCTCTAAATCAGCGGTTCTCAACAGGGGGTCTGCGAACCCTTTCAGGGAGGCCTGGGGCCCTGGGGCTAAAACCCAGAGCCTGAGCCCCAGCAGCTCCCATGGGGCTGAAGCCAGGACCCACGTGGTTGAAGCCCCTATGTCTGGCGTCCCCCGCGCGGCTGAATCCTGGAGCCCTGAGCGCCCTGGTCCTCCCCACAGGGCAGAAGCCCTGAGCCCATGGGCAGAGTTGGGAGGCACAGGGGTGTTGCCTCCCTCCCCCCAAAACTACACTGCAAGAGCAGGGCAATCCTGGGGCAGCTCCACCCCCCACACACACACACACCTCCTCCTCCCCCTTCCCCCCCCTGCCAGGTCAGAGGCGGGAAGCCAGAGCCGGGCAGTGTGGGACAGCTGCTGCTCTGACTGGTGCCATGGAGCAGGCAGCCATGGTGTTCCCTTGTCTCCTGCTGGTGCAGAGGGTTGAAGCTGCTCCTCCGCTCCCAGCCCCCTTTGCTCATGCAGCTGGTAAAAGCCGACTGGGCGGGGGGACCCGGCTCGGTGGCTGGCAGAGCCCTCGGGGAACTGGGACCGCAGGGGAGCCCTCCCGACACACAGCCCCTAGCTATCCCTCTCCCTGCAACCTGAGCCTACCCCTCTGCCTGGACACAGCCCTTAGCTACCTCCCTCCCTGCACCCTGAGCTACCCCCCTTCCCACACACAGCCCCTAGCTACCCCCTGCCTGCACACAGCCCTTAGGTACCCCACTCGCTGCACCCTGAGCTGTTTTCAAACTCTTTGAGCTGAGCTCCCGCCCCCATCTTTGAGTTATAGAGAGAATAGAAGTTGATACAGAACTGATAGGAATTGAAGAGAAACAGTCAAATGAAAGAGTCCTGTTCAGTTACATCACATGAAGGCAGTCAGCTAAATATTGACAAATTTTATAAGTGCTTTTATACAAATGCTAGAAGTCTAAATACTAAGATGGATGAACTTGAGTGCCTTGCATTAAATGAGGGTATTGGTATAATAGACGTCACAGAAACTTGCTGGACGATGATAATCAATAGAATATGATAATACCAGGGTATAAAATATATAGGAATGGCAAAGTGGGTTGTGCTGGTGGGGGAGTGACATCATATGTGAAAGAAAGAATAGAAACAAATATAGTAAATATCCGAGAATCTCTGTGGATAGACATTCTATGCTTCATTAATAAGAGTATACCAGTAGCAATATACTACTGACAACCAGACCAGGATGGTGACAGTGACTATGAAATGCTTAGGGAGATTAGAGAGGCCACAAAAATTGAAAACTCAATAATAATGGGGATTTAACTAACCGCATATTGACTAGATACATGTCAAGGACAGGATGCAGAGACAAAATTTCTAGATACCATAAATGACTGCTGCTTGGAGCAGCTAGTTCTGGAATCCCCAAGGGGAGAGGCAATTCTTGATTTAATCCTAAACAGAGCACAGAATCTGGTTCAAGAGGTAAATATAGCGGAACCACTCAGTAATAGCAACCATAGTGTAATTTAATTAAACTTCCTGGGGGGAAGGAGAAATATCAAAGAAGCCCACCACAGAAGCATTTAACTTCAAAAAGGGGAACTACTCAGAAATGAGGAGACTAGTTAAATGGAAATTAAAAGGAATAGTCACAAAAGAGAAATGCCTGCAAGCTGCATGGAAGCTTTTTAAAAACACTGTAATAAACACTCAAATTAAATGACAGAGTCCTGTGGCACCTTATAGACTAACAGACGTATTGGAGCATAAGCTTTCGTGGGTGAATATTCACCCACGAAAGCTTATGCTCCAGTACGTCTGTTAGTTTATAAGGTGCCACAGGACTCTTTGTTGCTTTTTACAGATCCAGACTAACACGGCTACCCCTCTGATACTCAAATTAAATGTATATCCCAAATACAAAACAAAAAACAGAGGACCACAAATGTGCCACCATGGCTAAACCAAGTAAAAGAGGCAGTTAGAGGCAAAAAAGCATCCTTTAAAAATTGGAAGTCAGATCCTACTGAGGAAAATAGAAAGGAACATAAACTCTGGCAAGTCAAATGTAAAAGTATAATTAGGCAGGCCAAAAAATAATTTGAAGAGCAACTAGCAAAAGACACTAAAACTAACAGTTTTAAACTGTATCAGAAGCAGGAAGCCTGCCAAACAATCAGTGGTACTAAAGAAACACCACAGAAAGACAAGGCCGTTGTGAGGAAGCTAAATGAATTCTTTGCATTGGCCTTCTTTGCGGAGGATGTGAGGGAGATTCCCACACCTGCATCATTTTTTTTGGGTGAAACATCTGAGAAACAGCCCTAGATTGAGGTGTCAGTAGAGGCAGTTTTGGAACAAATTGATAAATTTAACCGTAATAAATTGCCAGTACCAGATGGTATTCACCCAAGAGATCTGAAGGAGCTCAGATATGAAATTGCAGAACTACTAATTGTGGTATGTAACCTATTGCTTAACTCAGCCTCTGTATCAGATGACTGGAGGATAACTAATGTAAAGCTGATTTTTGAAAAAGGCTCTAGTGGCAATCATAGGCCAGCAAGCCTAACTTCAATACTTGGCAAACTGGTTGAAAATATTGTAAAAACCAGAATGATCAGATACATAGGTGAACACGATTTGTTGGGGAAGAGTCAGTACAGCTCTTGTAAAGGGAAATCATGCCTCACCAATCTAGTATGTCAGCACGCATGTGGACAAGGTTGATCCCAATTGTTATAGTGTACCTGATTCTTCAGAAAGCTCTTCAACGTATTCATTAACAATCTGGAAAAAGAGGTAAACAAAGCGAGGTGGCAAAGTTTGCAGATGATACAAAATTACTAAAGATAAGTCCAAAGCTGACTGCAGGGAGTTACAAAGAGATCTTACAAAACTGGGTGACTAGACAGCAAAATGGCAGATGAAATTCAATGTTGATAAATGCAAGTAATGCACATTAGAAAACATCATCCCAACTATATATACAAAATGATGGGGTCTATTTTAGCTGTTACCACTCAAAGAAGAGTGGAGTTGTTGTAGACAGTTGTCTGAAAACTTCTGCTCAATGTGCAGTGGCAATCAAAAAAGGTAATGTTAGGAACCATTAGGAAAGTGATAGATAATAAGACAAAAAATATCATACCACTATATAAATCCATGGTACGCCCACACTGTTCTGGGAGCCCTATCTCAAAAAAAGATATACACCTCTACCCCGATATAACGCGACCCGATATAACATGAATTCGGATATAACGCGGTAAAGCAGTGCTCCGGAGGGGCGGGGTTGCGCACTCCGGTGGATCAAAGCAAGTTCGATATAACGCGGTTTCACCTATACTGTGGTAAGATTTTTTGGCTCCCAAGGACAGCATTATATCAATGTAGAGGTGTATTGGGATTGGAAAAAGTACAGAAAAGGGCAACCAACAATTATTAGGGGAATGAAAGTTTCTATATGAGGAGAGATTAAAAAGGCTGGGGAGTGTTCATCTTAGAAAAGAGATTAGGGGTGGGAAGGAATATAAAGTTATAATTGGTGTGGAGAAAGTGAATAGGAAAGTGTTATGTGAAGGGATAAATAACAAGAACCAGGGGTCGCCCAATGAAATTAGCAGGTTTAAAATAAACATAAGGGACTACTTCTCCACACAGTGTATAGTCAGCCTGTGGAACTCATTGCCATGGGATGTTGTGAAGGCCAAAAGCATAACTGGGTTTAAAAAAAATAGAGAAGTTTAGGGAGGACAGGTCCATCAGTGGCTATCAACCGAGATGGTCAGGGACACAACCACGTGCTCTGGGTGTCCATAATCTCTGACTGCCAGAAGCTGGGACTGGACGACAGGGGATGGATCACTCAATAATTGCCCTATTCTGTTCATTCCCTCTGAAGCATCTCGCATTGGCCACTGTCGGAAGACAGAATACTGGGCTAGATGGACCATTGGTGTGACCCAGTATGTCCGTTCTTATGTTCTTTTGTAGTGTGAAAGTCTCCTGAAATAGTCATCAAATAATTTGTATACTGCCCAGAAGTACAGTAGAACCTCAGAGTTACGAACACGTTCGGAATAGAGGTTGTTCATAACTCTGAACAAAACATTATGGTTGTTCTTTCAAAAGTTTACAACTGAACATTGACTTAATATAGCTTTGAAACTTTACTATGCAGAAAATAAATGCTGCTTTTAACCATCGTAATTTAAATGAAACAAGCACAGAAACGGTTTTCTTACCTTGTCAATTTGTTTTTCCTTTCCCTTTATTATTTTAGTAGTTTGTTTAATATAGTACTGTGCAGTATTTGCCCCCCCCCACCCCCCCCCCCCTTTTTTTTTTTTTTTGGTCTCTGCTGCCTGATTGCATACGTCTGGTTCCAAATGAGGTGTGTGGTTGACTGGTCAGTTTGTAACTCTGAGATAAGAGTGTTATCTGCTTAATACAGTGCTTTATGCTTTTCTGTGCCCGTATGAATTCTTTTTATCCCTGGCTCTTGCTTATTCCAAAAGCTAGAAATTCAAAATATAGAGCAATTGTTATGTTCCATGAGCCAAAGATACTGCTTTAGACAGTTATCCGTTACTTATGTTTTTAGCACACTCTACCAAATTTTTAAGGCTACAGTAAAATCTTTTTAAACTCTTCCAAAACGTAGCAGACGTCACAACAAAAGTGATCCGCCTTCCTTATGGAATATAGTAAATAAATCAGGCTTCACATATAGCATACAGGGGATCATCTCTTTCAAAACTTTACCTATGATAGGCAGATAACATTAGGAAGAAGGGTCTTTACCCATTGATATTTTTGCAAAGATATTCACATTATGCTGATTAAAGAAATAGTGCTCTGTGATCTTTAAGGCAGTGTTTAGATGGGTGAGTGAGCCTTTATGTTCCAATTCTTGGGAAGTACTACACAGTTGGAAAGATTTCTCCCAGCAGAAGAAAGGTCTTGGTCGTTTTCCACAGATGCTGCCCCCTGTGATGCCTGCAGTCAGGATATATGAGGATATAAACTGTTGTCAACCTTGGATTAAAGGTGGTTTATGGTGTAGGATTGGCTCCCCTTGGTCTGGAATCATTTTTCTTTAGAACTTGGTTGGGAATTGGTCTTCTCCTGGTAACTTCCCAGGCTTCAAAGATTTTATAGCACTCTTATGCCTTCCTGCTAGAAGGTGCAAAGATTTAATAGGTTAGTAGACTGAAGTCTCATTTGCAAAATATGTCACAATACTATATTATCACAAACAATTAAAACAAAAGTGCAGCTGCCAAAAAAGTACATCTTGTGATTCACTGTCCTTTTTTGTTCCTCTACCTGCTAATTACCAAACTTCAGTACTTCTCAGTGGATCACTAAGTCATTGGTTCAAATTAGCAAAGTTCTGCAGTGTTTAATTAGTAATCTAAAAGCTCCATTTTTTTCTTCTTGAAGTATTATCAAGAATTAAATCAGTGGTTCTCAACCTTTTGTACTGGTTACCCCTTTCACACAGCAAGCCTCTGAGTGCGACCCTCCTTATAAATTAAAAACACTTTTTTTATATATATATTGAACACTATTATAAATGCTGAAGGCAAAACGGGATTTGGGAGTGGAGTCTGACAGCTCGCGACCCCCATGTAATAACCTCACAACCCCCTAAAGGGTCACGATCCCCAGTTTGAGAACCCCTGAATTAAATGAAATCAGAACATTTATATTTTTTCATGTTTTTTCATGTTCCACTGAAGTGGTGAAATCGGTTCTTTGTCAGCATAGAGGAGAATTTAAAGGAAGGGTACAATCATTATCAGTGGGAGAAACTAGGCCTGCCAGCTATAAGCCTTTTTCCTCTTTTAATTATGGGCTCAGATTTATTAGCCCATCAGGCTCTTGAGAGGTGTTACACAATACCTCCATTCTGCCGAGTATGTTTGGGCTTCTGAAAGGAGTTGGAGCCAAATGCACTTAGGTTACAAGCACAATTGAGAATTGTGCCCTTTTGAATTCAGTGGTGGGGAGGGTTGCCATTGAAGTCAGTGGTGCCAGAATTTCACCCTAAAAGTTAATGAAGTAACTAAATATAATGGTGTTGGAGGCGGGGAGGGATGGGGGCTTGGATGTCTTCTTCAAATTCATTGCTTTTTAATTTGAGTATGTTTTTTCTTGTTCAGAAATCTCTACCCCAAATTTGCATCACCTTGGGCATCTTCGCCTTGTCGACCTCAAGACATAGGTAGGGAAAATAAATTGTTTAATGCTGTCTTGATATTTATAAATGAGAATCAATTACATGGTTTAACAATTAGGTCAATTCTGATTCCTTTATCTAGACTTCCATGTTCCATCTGAATACTTAACGAACATTCACATTAGGGATAAGGTGAGTGTGCTTTCTTGTCCCCTATAATAAAATATGTAGATAAGAGGCTGCTTGGTTTATAGAATTATTTTCAAGATAACCTGATGTAATTTTTCGCAGATGGATATCTCTCATCAAATCCATTGTTTTTAGAAAAGTGTTAGTCTTAAATTCTGTAAGAACAGAGGTGCATGGAATGTTCTAGGAATGTTACATACCCTTTCCAACATTACAAGACCAAAAGAACCCTGCATCTGTTCCCAGTTTTGTTTTCCTTTAATTTCTTGGATGCTAAAAATGATTTGCATTAGCTTTTGGGGAATGTGAGAATGGGTTTGGGAAAGAGCCAACAGAAATCCATTAGAGCCATAGTCACATGTAATGAAAGCACTAGTCAGTCTAGACCAGTGGTTCCCAAACTGGGGTTCGTGAACCCCTGGGGGTTCACGAAATGTTGCAGGGGGTTCTCGGGGAAAAAATTCCTTAATGGCGGACAGAGCTGTTCTTAGGGACCCCGGGCAGCACGGGACCAGCAGCCCGGAGCCCCTGGACTTCCAAGAGCTAAGCAGATCAAAGTGAGCATATCTATCACACTGAGGAGATTTAAACTTCAAGCCTCCTTATAAGACATGGAAAGGGAGGTGGATATTTTTTGCTGTTTTCAAAATTAAATAGGCAGCTAATCTTGTTTTTAAAATTATTATGAAGAACAAGTTTAAGCTTTGTTGTAACGTGTGTTGTTTGCGTGGACTGCTCAAGACCTGAATGCTTGTGTAGGAAGAACTCTTTGAGTTGGCTTCTTAAATCCCTTCATGCTGTTTCACGTCTGATACTCCTTGATGAAACATAGGAGCCTTGTCTTATAACAGGCTTATTCAAAGTGATACAAGCTATGAAAGTGAGATCTTGGAAGAGTGTTGCCCTTTTCATAAATGTAATAAAAATACTGTAATGATAAATAGTAATTAATAATAAATAGTGTGTAATAAGCATGTCATAAAAACAAATTTTATATTTCCAAGATCACTGCTTTTATAATTTATACTCAGGTAAAGGAGAAACTCCCCAGAAATATTCATTTTTAGGAGGGGGTTCGCGAGACTTGACATTTTAGTGAAAGGGGTTCACAGGTGGTTAAAGTTTGGGAACCACTGGTCTAGACCAATATCCTATCTCTGAAAGTGTCAGATCCTTCAGACCAAAGCATCAAACCCTTATAATTCACATACTATAGTATGTCAACACTATACAGTACAGAGAGATTTCTTGATTCCATCTGATCAGCTTATAGCCTGAAGCTTAAAAATTGATAGCTCTTACTCCTTTCTTCCCTAGATAATAGAAATAGGAATTTTAAGCTTGATATATTTAAAAAGAAATCCTAAATATTGTGTGTTGATGAGATCATTCAATAATGTTTTAAAAATTAAGATGTAAGGGATTGCTGTACTAATGTAGCTATATAATGAAATTTGTAAACAAACTAATAAATTTAAAAGTAAAGCGAGTAGATCAGAAAATACACAAAGAAAAAAGATCCCCCCTTTCAGGTTTGTTACTTACATTAACTGTCCTGCTGTTTATATAATAGGAAAATTGGAAAGCTGGAGAAAAATTGAGCTTTTGATTAGTATATTACACTGCTATATATCTAGTACAGGGGTGGGCAACCTTTCAGAAGTGGTGTGCCGAGTCTACGTTTATTCACTCTGATTTAAGGTTTTGCGTGCCAGTAATACATTTTAACATTTTTAGAAGGTCTCTTTCTATAAGTCTATAATATATAACTGAACTATTTTGTATGTAAAGTAAATAAGGTTTTTAAAATGTTTAAGAAGCTTCATTTAAAAGTAAATTAAAATGCAGAGCCCCCCGGAATGGTGGCCAGGACCCAGGCAGTATGAGTGCCACTGAAAATCAGCTCGCGTGCCGCCTTTGGCACGCGTGCCATAGGTTGCCTACCCCTGATCTAGTATAACTTTTGCAACATACTTAATATAAGGGAAACAGTTTGACTATATTTTCTTGTCACGTTTAAATGGTATTAGCTGTCATTTATTTTATTTACCTTTTCTGGTTTTTAATCTTAATTTTTTTATCTTTTGCAGCTGGCTGCAATAAAACTTGGCCGATATGGAGAAGATCTACTGTTTTATCTCTATTACATGAATGGAGGAGATGTATTACAGCTATTAGCAGCAGTAGAGCTGTATGTTCAAAATATTTTGGCCAATTTGGTAATATGATAGAATGACAGTTTACTGTAGTAATCACGTAGTAAATCTAAAATTCTGCTTTCCAGTTTACTTCTAAAAGCTAGAAAAGCTATTTTTAACCCCTAAAAATAGAGGCATGGTCTGGGCACAGGGCTGTAACCCTGGAGCTCCTGAATTCTAATACTTACTCTGGTACTGGTTCCTTTCTATAGTCTCTCCATTTGTAATAAATGCACCTGCCTCATATGGGTTTTGTGTTGCTTTTAAAGCACCCTGGAGACAAAAAGTGCTACATAAATGCCAACAGTTGTTAAAATTAATGGTATGGAGAAAGTGAATATGAAAGTGTTATTTACCCCTTTACATAACACAAGAACCAGGGGTCACCCAATGAAATTAATGGCCAGCAGGTTTAAAACAAACAAAGGGAAGTACTTCTTCACACAGTGCATAGTCAGCCTGTGGTACTTGTTGCCAGGGGATGTTGTGAAGGCCAAAAGTAGAACTGGGTTCAAAAAAGAATTAGATAAGTTCATGGAGGATAGGTCCGTCAATGACCAACAACTAAGATGGTCACAGGTACAACCCCGTGCTCTGGGTGTCCATAGTCTCTGACTGCCAGATGCTGGGACTGGATGACAGGGAATGTATCACTCGATAATTACCCTGTTCTGTTCATTCCCTCTGAAGCATCTGGCATTGACCACTGTCAGAAAACAGGATACTGGGCTAGATAGACCCATTGGTCTCACCCAGTATGGCCATTCTTATGTAACCATCTAAAAAAACAACAAAATGGAGGACAATAAACATTCAGAAAATGGTTTGCTGCTGGAATAGGCCAACTTCTTACCGAGCATGGCCAAGATTTTGGTCCTACCATTAGGACTGTATTTAATAAATGGTTATATTGAGCAGATAAGTAGGTGTTTTATGGACTTGATTTTGTCTTACAAAGTTTTTTTTTTTTTTTTTAATAGTGTAAAACAATGTCTGCTTGAAAGGGTGTGTGTTTTGTATTCTGAAATCAAAGCAACTAACATAAAAAATTCTTTTTCCTCCCAATTAAAAATGAAAGATTTAACCGTGATTGGAGATACCACAAAGAAGAACGAGTATGGATCACCAGGGCACCAGGCATGGAGCCAACAATGAAAACCAATACATATGAGAGGGGAACATATTACTTCTTTGACTGTCTTAACTGGAGGAAAGTAGCTAAGGTATTTTTTCTTCCACTGTGCAGATTTTTAAATCTATCAACCATGTATTTTTAAAAATCTTTTTTTAAAATCCCCTTTTTTACTGTATGTATGTGTGTGTGTAAATATTCATTCTGTATCCCACACACTGGCTTTCTGACTTCAATTCAGATGTAGGAGGGAATAAGAATTTCCTAAAAACACTGGTTCATTACTGGAGGGGTGGGGAAGGAACTGTCCTCTCGATCTCTTCAAGAGGTAGAAAAATGCAGAATATCATTTTTCAATAGTTCTAGTTAAAATCCAAATACTTTGTTCTGATTACTGAGCTATGGAGTAATTACTTCTTGCCATTTAGAAGTTGGGCATGCAAATACTGTACTTTGTTTTAGAACATTAAAAACAGAGCACAAACTTTTTATTTTCAAATTAAACCATTTCTCCTTTATGGTATTCCCTCCACAGATGCACATTGTAGGAGATTCATGCTTTGTCACTCGAATTACAGAATCCTTTCATATTAGGAAATATTTTGGGGCATATGCCAAAGCTCCTCAGAACTAGTGTTCTTGGACATAGGGGGGGTGTTCAACACAAACAATATCCCCACTTCCGTTCATCTTGCTTTGTTCTTCTTTGGCGGACAAAATCCAGCCTCACTGTGTACAGGATCAATGTCAAGATTTTATAGAATTTTATTTTTCTCCAAAAATTTAGTTATCGGTGTGTTAGTAGTTTCCTTAGTATAATTTTAAGATCTTTTTATGGGAGTTTTTTTCCTCACTAGAATTTGACTATCAACTGTCCAATTCCAGAGGAAGCAGCGAAGATTCTCACTTGCAATACTCTAGCACTATATTTACTTGAACACAAAGGGAGGAACTAACTTCCATTGTTATTATGAGATGCTGAGTGCTTTTATGGTATGATGCATTCAGAACAAGGTGATGTCTTCAGCGCTATCTCTGGCATGAGTTTAACACCCAAAAAAAAAAAAAAGCCACCCAAGAACCTTACACTAAATGCAGTGCAATTTATTGGATCAGTGGTCCCTCAAGAATTCACTGAGAAGTTTTATTTTGTCATTATAGGGTCATCTGGATATAGCATGGGTTTGCAATGTTGAAATTTAAATATCTGATCTGCTACAGAATAGCTGTTTATTTGAAGTTCCACATTTCTTATTCATCGAGGAAAGGGGAATATATATGCCTTTCTCCCATTTCCTCTGTTGTTTCAAAGTTGATAGGTCAGGCCCACAGTGATCTTGATATCTTCAGCTCAGCAGACGTGGTTCTTGAATATTAGCCCTTTTCAAGAATCTTCCCTATAACCTATTATCAGAGCCTTTTATCTCAAGAAAGAGGGCAAGTATTTCATCCAACTTGAGATTTCCTTAACCTGAAAGCCTAATGGCAGGATTGTTGGTTGGTGAGTCATTGCACTTCTTTGTGTAAATCACATCTCTGCTGTTTGGAATCATGAAAATATTCTTCTAAGCAGTTATATGTCTGTAGGTGAAAGTATTTTCAGGTTTAACCAGAGTCTAAAGGGGGTAGTTCCATTTTCTCCCCTGTAGCAGTTACCTTGAATTTTCTGTTACCACAGTGGACTCAGGTTTGTCTTCATCTACAGATAGTATATATAATAGGTTGTCTCTGACTACCATATTAATGTGCAAGAGTATTCAGTATTTTCAAATCCCTCAATAAAATGGCTTCTTACTAGTCTGGTGAATGTGAGAACATCTAGTTCTCACAAAGTTTATGGAATCTTTTTTTTTTTTTTTTTTTTTTTGAAGTCTTGATATGTTATCTTTTGCATCTGTAGTTAGATTTTGTTTTGATTTTTTTGTTGTTTTTTGACTGACTAACACACAAGAGCATTTCCACACTTCAGGTTTTAATGGCAAAGCTGCCTTATACAATTTTTCATACGGGCAAAATAATTGTAAGGCCTCAAACAAACAAAATTGGCCTAGATGAACTGGATTTTTAACTGAATTGGTTGATTTCTTTATCAATTTTTTTTCTTAGTCTTAGGTATGCTGTCTGTAATGCTATCCTACATGCCTGAGACGTTCAGAGAGGTATTACCTATTACCTTAATAGTGGGGGAAAGGCCCTATTGGAAATCTACAAGGTTGTTTCTCGCTTTTGACGAAGAGTGAAGGCCAAAACCTTTCAGTTATAAATGGATCATATTATGTATTCAGACATCCTATGAGCTTATTTGAATTGCTGTACCAGAAAGAATAAGTGCCCACTCTGCCACAGAGGTAGCAGCCTGCATAGCTGCTATTCACTATATGCCTGTATTAGAAATTGTAAAGTTGCTACTTGGAGCTTGATTATTGCTACTTTTAGAAAGCAGTATTCTCTTTGCAGAATGTAGATTGGATGCTGTATTCAGGAGAGCAGAACTTCAGTCTTTTTGACTAGTGTACTCCTTCTTCCAGGGGATAGGTAGTCTACAGCAGTGTCAATGAAGAAAGATTACTTTTACCAGTAGCTGTTGCTCTCCCAAATATATTGTCTCTGCAGATCCATACAGCTTCTCCTACCTCCTTCAACTTCACAAATTGACAATAATTGTCCAATATTAGGGAGGAACTGAGGTCTAGTTAGGGAAAGAGGTAGAGCTTTTATACCTTTTCTAGAATTCTGGATCCAAGGAACATGCAAGCGATAGTCTTAACTTATTGATTTCTTGTTAGTTTGGAGCAAAATATACCAGGCAAGCTGAATATTGGTGGAAGGGGAGCTATGGAGGACTATGGGGAAAATTTGCTTTTTTGAGCAATGGAAAAATAACGATTAGGCTAGCTCTTACTATCTATGTGTAAAACTCATCTAAGACAAGTGGGAATTTCAGGCACAGATGGAGGGCAAGTATATGTCTGTGTAGTAAAAATGTGATCTCTAATATTAACCTTTGGAGTCAGAATTTCCTAAGAGTTTTAGGATAATAAGGACATGATTAAATTTAAATGTTGTTTTTAATATGAAGGGTTAGTTGTCCAAGTGACTATACTTCTAAATCCCATTAGAAAAATTAAATTCCAGGGCAGTACAAATATCAAATACTGTGGAGAACGTATTCTGATCAATTGCAACCACATGGAGTCATTTTTAAAAGATATTTTCCTTGTACTTTGTTTTACTGTAACAGGTACATTATTACCTAATATTGAGAATATCAGTTTGCCAGAAGAGCATATTAATAACTGCTACTTAATTGATCCATGGATGTTGCTTTACTGCAGCCAGGTTAGAATTATCTGCAATAAATTATCATTTACATCTGTACTTTAAATAAATTATTTTTCTAGGTGCTTTATAATCTTTCCTCTTGTTTTAATGTATATGTGCATTCTTTGGATAATATTACTAAAAGCGCCAGACTATTTTTTTTTTTTTAAATATAGACTATACTTGCAATTTAATAAAACTCTGTGACAACATCCTAGACTGGTTTTAACAATCTAATAAAAAAGATTATACATAATCCTACTCCGTGAAATAGCAAATAACATTAATTTAATAAAGAATGAGTTTTACTGTACATTCACCTTCGGTAACAGACTGAAAAAGGAAATGAGTGAAAATTGAATAAGCATTGAGACAGCTTCCTAGATTGTTTTGAAATTCAAATTAAATGAATTCTCCATAGACATTTAGTTAAATAGCCCAAGAACTTGAATAATGAAGAAGTTTACTTCATATTCACCGTAAACAGAAATATTAAGGAAATGTTGATCACAACTATGATATGCTTATGGCTTTTCATCCTATTCCATGTAGAAAGTACAATATGGTTAGAAAAATTTTGATTTTATACTGAGCAGGTAAAGCAAGAGAATACTCACTGTATAGCTTCCTCTGCTTAAGCTGCTGGGGCGATGCTGAAAGGCTTAGCAACAGGAGAAAGGAAAGTGAAGACAATGAGACCAAGCAATGCCGCCAATGATTACACATTACTAAAAGAAAATTCTCTTAACTAAAATTTTATAATTTCTCTATTCAAAAATGAGGAAAGGTGATCCCTGTTAAGAAACAAAATTAAAACCCTTGTTTTATTTTTCCTTCCTAGAAGCTTGAATTCTTTATGGTTGGGAAATTTAAACATTAGAAAAAGTATTCCTTTTTTTTTTAGCAAGGGATGCTGCCTATACTAAATATCCTTTCAAATATTTACAGTCAATATTTAAATATTTTTTTAAATTATTAATAGAACAACGTTTAACTTAATGACAAAGACATGCTATAGAGTAGTAGGTTCTAGTTCCTAATTTCTGTTTGGGTCTTTTGTGTCCGTTTTGTAGCTAATGCAAGTATTGTTTCTAGGCAAATTGAAAACTGTGTCTAGTAATGGAGCTTCCAGTGTTTCCCTTGGTAGACTGATTCACAGTCCAATAGACTTCATCATTTTTCCTACATTTAGCCTGTTTAGCCTACATTTGCCGTTGCTATCTTTTATTCCATTAATCCTCTTTAAACAGTTCTCTTCCATATTTGGTGTTCACACCTACTAAATATTTTGTATAAATACATTGATTGCTGTGACATAACTCACTCTTTGTGACTGTAATCAGAATGACACATGAAAAATAAGATTCACTTCACAGAAAATTTCTTTAGCGTTGGATATGCTTTGTGGGATTTTCCCCCCTAAGTATGGAATCCCTATTCTTGGTTAATTCAAGGTATTTAAAAAAATCATTGTTTCCAAATGAAAAATAAAAGCAATTAATTTAACCAATGTTTGCTTAATAGACAAGCTGGAGTTTTTCCATTTCTTTGTATCTAATAAATACAAAAATGATCAATGCAATTGTTCATATCCAAATCTATGATGGCCACTACTAACTAAAGTGAAACGTAAAATAACATGTATGAAAGTATTTTTCTATGTGCAATAAATACACTACTTTTTGGTTTTCAAAAATATTTGGTCAGTGAATTATTTCCCCCTATATTGTTAAATATAATAACTGTTAAGTGTAATTACACACTCAGAATGTGGGATCTTTTAATACTTCAGCATACCTGAAGCAGCAATAAAATGACTGACAAACACTGTTTTAATGCTTACAAAATTTGCATCCTATAGGTGTTAATATTTTCCTAAAAAAATCTGTCACAGTAACAAATCTCAATCCATATGGCTCTAAAGGAACCCTCATGAGCCAGTAAGATTCCTTCCTTTAGACGCCAGTCATTAATTCAAGTGGCCGCTCTCTACATGTAGTCTTGAATGCACTCCAGAATATGTGAGGGTTTAGCATTCACCTGTTTTCTTGCTTAATAAGTTTTGTTAAAATAGCAATTCCCCAATTGTAGTCCATAGACTGGTAATGATCTGCAGAGCCTTTTCTGGTCATCTGCAGAACATAACACTCTGAGAATCATGAACTGGAAGGTTGGAGAGAAGGTAATTTGAGGGGCATTTTTCTTATTTCAAAGTGAAAGACAGGAGAATTTCAGAGTTAAAGACTCTATCCTAAAATATACCCCCGAGAACCATGTGTGGAAGTATTTTCCCCACACTGGTATCCCTTGTTTCCCTTCCCCCCCCCCCCCCCCCCCCCACCCCCACTCCCACTCCCAAAAAAAGAGAGCTCATGTGCCTGCGCATTACCCCACCCTATCCATGGATGTGCATGGGAGGGTGGGGTGGAATTTACCCCCCAACACTAATACACTGGCACGCTATATTAAATATTTTCCACCTCAGGTCCCCAGGAGCTGCCACAGCCAGGAAGCTGGGGTGGAGGATGGGATGAATGTGCGGGCCAGAGCCTCAGTAGGGAGACAAAGCTTTCATGCACATGGCCGTGGCCTTGTAGATGCTGCTGGGATTCTCGAGGTTTGTGGAGAGCTTTATTTGGGGGATATAGATTCAATTAATTCTCAGCATGATTCCCTAAATTCCCTCATTACCATGGTGAATTTTTTCTCTATGCCAGGTAACTGTTTCCCCTTAAAGATCAGAGGCCTGGGACTCAGAACTCCTGAACTCTAGTCCCAACTCTTGCACTGATTTGTATTCTAATTCATTTTACCCATCGGTAATAGAAATAATACTATATTTAACTACCTCCCAAAGGTGTTGTGAGGCTTTATTAATTTTTTCAATACTTTGAGTATGTTCCTCAGTAAGAGTTGACATAATCCCTACCCAGATAAGTTTAGAATCTGTAGGAGGTTTGTTGTTTGAGATAATAAGCTCAATAAATTACAACGCTGAAGGCAGAAGTGTTTATTTAGCCCGGGATGATTATTACTGAGTTAACAGAAAGTATCCTTAAAGTACTGTACTAAATTTTCAATTAAACATTCACTTTTTGAATGCAAATGCAATGAAAGGGACTTGGGGAGCTGTCAAACTATTAAAAGGTTAAAAAATGATTTTTTTTAAGCCCAGTTTTATGTACATTTTTGCATATACCCAAGTTGTATGCTGAAGATGCCAGTGTGAGTACACAAATTGGTGATCACAATTCAAGATCATGCAGTGGAATTGTAATAAAAGCAGAGCACTGCATATTCATAGCAGAGTTGTCAAGAGGTATTTAAATGGTAGGTATCCCAGCAATCTGATTCATCATGGTTGCTAGCCATTTAGAATATATTCATATACTTGAATGGCTGGAATATTTTTAGAAATATTAAGCAAATCAAATGCCCACATAATGCAAGGAATTGTATAAATGAGAAAGAAACTGTGCATTTATGAATTAATAGCTGTAAGAGCCTCATACACTGGCCGAGCATTATTAATATTCAGTATAATGGTTTATAAAGTGCTTTGAGGTCTTTAGAAGAAAGCCACTACTGAAGTGTAGTGTAGTAGTAAAGAGCTTCTATATATGGCTCAGCAAACCTAAAGGAAGGATGGATACACCTGAAGTTTAACACTTCACCCAGGTATAAATGGTAGTGGACTGCTTTGTTACATCTGTGATTCTTAAGTCGATTTAAATCTCCTTACATGGTGGTTTATTCTTCTTACATTTCATATCATGAAGAAGAAACCTGGCCTAATGGTATTTCTGACTAATTTGCGTTCCACCAACAGTTGGCATGGTGATATGCCACAAAATACCTCAGAACTCAGCGTTGTGGCATCTAAAGTAAATCTTAGAAAAGATCTTTTGAATTGCTGAAAAATAGCTTTACTAAAAGTTTAGTTGACTTACCTGCACATTTGTGTCTTGTCTGTATGTTTAATAGTTTTAAGTGCTCACAACTAGGTTTCTGAAGCTAACTTACCATTTAAAAAATGGGTAAGATGGTGCTGTTGCAGACACTGCACTATATTATATTGATTTTTTTTTAAATAACGAACTAGGGTCACAAAAAATGTATTTTTTTGCCTCATTTATATAATAGGAGTTAAATCAAGCTATTTCTAAAAGCATCATTTTATTTAAAGAGAAGAAGTTGCTCGTCATGGATACAGACATTTGCGTATGCAAGGGAAATATCAACAATTAAATAATCCTTTTTGTTTAATTGTAGGAGTTCCATCTGGAATATGACAAATTAGAAGAAAGGCCTCATCTGCCATCAACCTTCAACTACAACCCTGCTCAGCAAGCCTTCTAAAGACTTCCCTTTTCTTGGGGTATGGCTGTCTCAGCACAATACTCAACATAACTGCAGAACTGATGTGGCTCAGGCATCCTGGTTTTAATTCCTTGAGGATCTGGCAATTGGCTCATGCAAAGGGTCACCATTTGAGGTCCTGCCTTACTAATTATGTGCTGCCCAACAACTAAATTTGTAATTTGTTTTTCTTTAGTTTGAGCAGGGTCTGAATTTGTTTTTGTTTATTTTATTTTTTGCCAGCAGACAAGCTTGGGTCTAAAGACAAGCGAATACACTGTCAAAAATTTACCACTTAGTTTCCAAAATGTAAAAAAAAAAAAAAAAGCAAAAAGACAAAATTAGACAATTTGCATTGTTCATTGTAGCACTATTGGTAATAAAAAATGTTTGTGCATTTTTATGTGAAGATCCTTCTCGTATTTCATTTGGAAAGATGAGCAAGGTCTGCTTCCTTCATTTTACTTCCCCTTATGTTTTTGAAAGGCAGTTTTCGCCAAGCTTAATGCAAGAATATCTGACTGTTTAGAAGAAAGATATTGCCACAACCTCTGGTTAGTTTCCAGGGTTGTGTATTACTGAGCTTCATCTTTCCAGAATGAGCAAAACACTGTCCAGTCTTTGTTACAATTTTGTAATAAATGTGTACATTTTTTTTAAATTTTTGGACATCACATGAATAAAGGTATGTATGTACGAATGTGTATATATTATATATATGACATCTATTTTGGAAAATGTTTGCCCTGCTGTACCTCATTTTTAGGAGGTGTGCATGGATGCAATATATGAAAACGGGACATTCTGGAACTGCTGGTCAGGGGACTGCTTTGTCGCCCTGTGCACTAAAGGGCCAGATTTTCAGCAGCCAAGGACATCCATACCCAAGTGAATGTGATGGGACTTAAAGAAGTGAACTGAGACAATTCACTCTGGCTGTTTGAACAGCAGCGTTTCATAGGAAGAGAAAAAAAAAAATCAATCTTGTATTTTCTGACCACATAAAGGCTTCTTCTCTTTGTAATAAAGTAGAAAAGCTCTCCTCACTGCAGTGTTGACTTTGATTTGAGATTGTGAAATCATTTCTTCAACAATGAAAAATGAAAATAACTGTTGAAGTATTAAAAATATCAAGCTGTACAGTGGTTAAGACACTTACATTGAAGAGTCTTTTAGCTGCTGATAAATAATTTAAGAGATTATATACCTTTCCTCAGTAGGCCAAAAATTATGGTCAATCTTGTTTTCACATTAAACGAACTAATACAAAATAGAAAATTATTTTTTTGCAAATGGGATTGGGTAACATTTGAAATGATAGAAAAGCTTGTATTAAAATACTTTTCTTTTTGTGATGGGTTTGTTGGTTTAGAATTAAAATATCCTAACTCGTCACAGCTTTACTTCCAAGCTGATATTTTACCACTTCAAACAGAGAAGTATGTTTCATTTGATGCATATGACTTCCTGAGGCTGAGACCTCAATAAACAAAACCTGAATACACCATTTCTGGAAAGTACTGTAACTGTTCTCTAGACTAAAGGAAAAAAAAAACAACAACAACCTGGGTAGTGTGTGTCCCTTATTTTAATGTGACAGCTATTTTACATTCAACAACTTGTGGACTATATTACATCTGATGATGCAAACTATGTTTTTAAAAAAAAACCTGCGGTTACCAAAGCAAGAAAAGACAGCAAAACAATGTCAGTGAATCTTTGATTTTTTTTTTTAATTTTAGTTTTTAACCTATTTTTCTATGTAGTACAAAACAGTTTGTTGGCATTTATCATATAATGTTTGGAAATTGACCAATAATGACATTGCTGTGTTTCTGTATCAGGTGTATAGCAACTTTAAATTCTACATTTTTATATGTATTTTGGGATAAGAGAGACATAAAAATATAAAACTACTTATATATCATCTTTTTATTATTTAAAGCAAACAACTTTCTCAATCTGAAAGGAAAGTGATGGTCATAATTTAAATGGTTATAAACAATGATGAAAAAAAGTTGCCTATGATTTTTCCCTAGCTCAGAAAAGAATCAAACATTTAACTATTAAGAAACAAAAACTATAAACTGAGGAATGATGTATTGAAAAAAATCACAACAGTTTAATGCTCACTCATGGTAAATATTTCTAATTTTAAAAGGCCTGCTTGGACTTCAAGATTTAGGTTTTAAAAAGTATCCTAAGAATACATATAACTTTAATTTAGATGTGATTATTTGTGGTCTAATATATTTTTTCCTGCACAATATCAGTCTTGGTGAAATGAACAAAGGTAGAGTAAGGAGCAAGACAGTTAGTGAAATTAACAAAACAAAACCTTACATGCTGCAAAGTATGTGATGACATTTTAAAATCAATCATTAATCTGGAATTGGGAATGTAACCGCATCTTCCAAACAGTGACTTTTGTAAAGACTTTGCATTCAGTTACACTAATTCAGAAGCTTGATGTGCTTAAAATTAATATCAAATACAATGCACAAGTGTCAGTGCAGGAGCTGATGACTTATCCTTTCCAAGGGAATAAATGATTTGGCTCATTTATCCTGCTTCTTGGTGATTAAAAAAGGGGATACAGAGATTTGTAACTCCTCAGTTATTTTAGTTTTGTATCATGTTGTGCCAAAGTAGGAGAAGGAGCTTTGAATACAAAACAAAAGATATAAAACTTGAAGTACTCCAGGAACAATTACAGGGCTCCTTAATAAAAAGCAGAACACTTCAGAAAAAACTTACAGAAAACATTTTTGGTGACTGAATTGACTTGGGATACTATGGTTATATCTACATTTCAATAAAAGACCCGTGGCACAGCCATGGCTGGCCTGGGTTAGCTGACTTGGGCTCACGGGGTTCAGGCTACGGGGCTATACAATTGCAGTGTAGACGTTTTGTGCCTGGGCTGGAGCCCACGCTCTGAGACCCCGCGAGAGGGGTGGTTCTCAAAGCCCAGGCTCCAGCCTGAACATCTATCCTACAATTTTTAGCCCCACAGCCTGAGTCAGCTGCCCCAGGCTCTGAGACTTGGTACTGAGGACATTTTATTACGCTGTAGACCTATCCTGCGGGTATGTCTACACTCCAGTGTAAGTCCAGGATTTGAACTCAGGCTCAACCTAACCCCTCTTCTGTCGACACACACATCACACTAACCCAGGCTCCCAGGGTGGGTGGAGGATCCAAGCCTGAGTCAAGCCGGGACCCAGGATTCAAGCCCCAATTGCTTTGCAGTATAGATGCAGCCCCACTGGACTCATGCTCTGGGAGTCCACCAAAAGTATCCCACTGGCCAACTTTCTTTGTTCTCTGGCGGTCAAGTTTTGGTAGACAGTCAAGTTTTCCCACCCTGCACCATGAACAAAGGCTAGAGCAGCCACATTTTGGGAGGGCCCAGCATAGTGTGGTGTAGATGCTGAAGCCCCAGGTTGGGACCAATGGTTTATGAATTCCTAACCTGAGGTTACAAATGAGTGTAGATGCTCAAACCCTAGGTTAACAAACCCAGGGTCTGCTAACTTGAGTTCTAACCCTATGCTACAACACTCTGGTTTGTTGTATATCCAGTGGCAGCTAATGTACAAAAAACGTTGAAGGGGATTTTATATTCACTATAACATTATTATTCTTGGCGTAAGAAGATTACTATTTTCATTTAAGTCTTTTTCTGTAATTACATGTAGTCCTCTGTGGACCGTGTGCAAGATAAGTTTTGAGTAGCAATATAAAACTGGCTTTCTCAAAACAGTTGGAAATATTTAGATCTTTGAAGTGTTTCAAGGACATTTCATAGAATCATAGAATATTAGGGTTGGAAGAGAACTCAGGAGGTCATCTAGTCCAACCCCCTGCTCAAAGCAGGACCAATCCCCAACTAAATCATCCTCAATCATTATCAAGCCTGTCCTTAAAAACCTCTAAGGCAGGAGATTCCACCACTTCCCTAGGTAACCCATTCCAGTGCTTCACCACCCTCCTAGTGAAAAAGTTTTTTCCTAATATCCAACCTAAACCTCCCCCACTGCAACTTGAGACCATTGCTCCTTGTTCTGTCATTTCTAGAGTTGTGGTTTTGTTAATGCTTGTTATAAAGCCCTCTTCATTGAAACAGATGCAGAATTATTCCAGTTTATTTGGATAATCACTTCTCTGTTGGGAAAAAAAATTAAATGGACATTACACACTTGTCTAGAAATAGTACTGAAGGGACTATTCAGTTAGACAACTATTCCTGCCTTATCTCAAACCACTGGGCCTTTTCCAAAACTGAGTTTAAAAACAAGCAATCTTAGCATTCAGTTCCCTGTCTGAGTTTTATTACAGCGATTGGTCCTGATGCTGCAAATATTTACACATGTGAGTAACTTCATGCACTTGAGTCTTACTGAACACACATGTAGTTCCACTGAACGTGTGAGGCTACTCACATGTATACGGTTATTCATGTACAATATTTTGGCTTAGATACCAAAGCTGTCTGCCCTATGTATTTTAATATTAGTGACTGACAGATTGCTGATTGACACAGTGTTATCCAGCACAGGAACTTAGTCCTGCTGCTATTTTGCCATACGTTATGTGCAATGTTGTATCTTTAGATCAGTGCAATTGATTTGAATTCTTATAGTTTATTACAGTAGATAATCTTATTTCAAAGAAACTATTGACTCTCAATTTTCAGAAGATTTTGTTTAAAATAAGCGGAGTCATATACTGTAGTTATGTATCAGAGGGGTAGCCGTGTTAGTCTGGATCTGTAAAAGCAGCAAAGAGCCTTGTGGCACCTTACAGACTAACAGATGTATTGGAGCATGAGCTTTCGTGGGTGAATACCCACTTCGTCGGATGCATGTCATGCATTCGACGAAGTGGGTATTCACCCACGAAAGCTCATGCTCCAATACATCTGTTAGTCTGTAAGGTGCCACAAGGCTCTTTGCTGCATATACTGTAGTTCATATTTAACTGAAGTGCTAAAATGTGCTGCATTTCAGTAACAAGAGCCACTAACTTTGAATTATAATTTTTTTTGTACTGACCCGGAGGCAATGCTGAAAGTAACTCTGGAAATCTTCAATACTTTTGTCTCTGTAAGTCTGTTTAGCAAACAGCTAGATCCTGGCATTGATATCTAGTTGGTAATGACTCAACGATTCAAACAAGTTAGTCAGTTTCTAAATAAAATTGTTTAAAATATATTAAACTATACTGGACACATTTTAAATTTACTTTTTAGTAATCTCCCAGTAACTTTAATTAAAACTACTTCCACAGGAATGTGTATTTACACTGACTGAAATTGAATGCAA